AAAAATATGACGTTCAAGAGTTTGTGGGATGAAAAATTTTTCAACTAGTTTAGATTTCGCAAAAAACGAACGAGAAATACACCCCCAAGATGAATGCTTTTGATTGTTGATCATCAATCAAACCATTGATGGAACTTTTATGATGGCTGTAATTTATTTCATGTCAGCTTTGCTTCTATTCTAATTAACTTTTAACTTATTGACACTTATTTTCGATTGATACAAAATGTTTTAGTCAATATTCTTATTTGTCTTGCCTTTGACACCATGTGCAATTTTTTTGTGGCTCTCATTTAATAATAATTCAAGAAATTACCTTGTAATTTTTTTATTGGCGTTATATAAAATATTTATGGGTAATGTTGTGGGAACAGATATGATTAAATTTCTCTCAATACGCTAGCCATAAAATAATTTTATTTCAAATAAATTGATATTTGGTTTAAAGTCATTAACTGTATCAATTTTCTATGAATTTATTACCGTAAAAGCGGCCAAAATAAAATACACACATACCAGGTGAATAAAAAGTATGGAACCAAACGTTTTTTGCTTAAACTATTTATTTTTTGAAAAAACTAATTGATGAGTGATAAAGTACTATAAAAATTTGTCGAAATTTTCTTTTGTTTTTGAGTTCTACAAAAAAGCTATACTCTAAGGATTACAACTATCCGCTTTATAAATGGCATAACTCAAAAACAAAACAAAATTTCGTTCTGAAAATACGGTCACATTTTTTATATTACTTTACTTTATATTAATTATTATTTACTGGAGGCAAATGATTAACAATAAAACCGCTTGGTTCCATACTTTATATTCACCCTGTATATGCTGTATTTATAAATATAAACCGAGAGATAAAAGTATAAATCCCTGCAGCCTTAGTTGTAAAGCTGTTAGTCCGTCGCTCTAACAAAAAAATAAATTCATTTCACATTTTTATTACAAACAATTCATCTTGTCATTTATTTAGATTAGAAACAAGATTAGAGAATAAATTAATTACAAAACTTGTGCAATTAATTAGAAATTGATAACACAAAGTGATAGCTACATCCCGCATTGGTCCATTTATTCACATAATGCGAAAAGTTTAACTAGTTGAGAAAATTAATGGGGTGCTAATTTTTTTTCACCTACCTTTAAATAAAAAAAAAAGTTAATAAATAAATCACGCATCCATCACTCACTCACTTCACTTGCCACCTGTTTGCGTATTTTTTTAAGTTTGAGCCACTTTTCGTAGTTTTTCGGTGTGAGGCGTCGCGGCGAGAGCTGAGAGCGTACTGACGCCCCCATACTGTCGTCGGACTACGTCTACCCGCATTACGTCAGATAAGCTAAAAGTAGTCTCATTTGTATTCATTGATGAGCTTTTGTGTACTATTTAGTGGTGACGATGCATCGCATTGTTCTTTTTTCATGATGTAATTAAACCGGATTTTTTCATAAAGACGGATGTGTCCAAACTTTGGCAATAATGTATTGGAAAAGTCGCTTTTTCGCACTAGGAACTTTTCCAATAATAAAGCCTAACTTAACCTCGTGAAAATTTATTTAAATTAGGGCAGGGGCGGATCCAGGCATTAATTTTGGGGGGAGCTATCTAAAAAAAATTTAAATTATGAGGGTAGGTATACAGTGAGCGGCAAAATTATAGAATAATCTTATTTATTAAAATTGAAAATATTTTGTTTTGGAAAAATGCTCGAACAGGTCAATTTTTTTTTAACAAATACAAAATTTTTAACTTGATTTAAAATTGTATCTTTGTTT